AGGGCAGCATATGTACATTATATAGCTAAGAAGTGAGTAAATACARAATAGCTTGAAACACGATCAAGGCTGGACAGCCAAGTTGTCCTGCAAAGCAGGCATTCATCTGCCTTCTCAGCTACTCCTCCTGATTTTTTTTCCTAACTATCAGCATTCCCAAATTGTTTATTCAGTTTCACAGCATTGTGCACCCGAGTTAGGGACATTGCCTCTAGGACAAGCGCCAGGTTGTGCCATAAAGGGGTATCTGGTATGTGGGGCTCTGTTTGGGGGGTGCCTATTTGCTCAACAAACCCCAGCTGAAATATTTCCCTTCAGCAAAGGCCTGGCCCTTCCTCCTGTGGCTCTTCCAGGCTCTTGCAGTCCACAAGGAGGTGTTCTACTGCTTTTTAGTTATTTTTTAATGCAATATGATAAAGCAATCAATTACTTATTTAAATATGTAGACTGAATTAATTAGAATATTAACAGAAGAATTTGATTATTAACACCTCTGTTATTTGGAGACCAGCACTGCTGAAAATGTGAATAAATCTAGTCTGTTCATCCCTTCATGGAGTCTATAATCCTCAGAGACTGASAAAAATCCACATGACATCCCCAAATGCTGAATTTTGCATTGATTTGGATCTCACGCTTATTTGAAAGACATTTAAAATCACAACCAGGCATTCCCCCCTGACTAAATCTCTGTGGAGGTTTTGGGGTTATTTTCAAAGGATGCAAAATGATGTAAGCCTGTAAAATATGATGACAAGTGGTGGAATCAAATTTCTGCGGACACTGGGCAAAGGAATGTGTAGCTTGTCAAAAAGGAGCAGGAGGGAGAAAGCCACGACAGTCGTAAAAGCTGCTGCCAGTTTCTAAATATCATGGCAGCAGCTAGTTTCTAAATATCATGGTAGTGAGGTCTAAAGTTCATGGGTTGATCCTATCTAATTTTAATGAATCTCCTAATATGAAGAACAGCTGAGCAATCAGACCCTTACGACGCTCCATATATATATATATATATGGACATTGATCCACTAATGCTCATTTCCTAGCAGTTAAAGCAAATAAATGTCAGTAATCAAACTGTTAAAATGCCATTTCTTTGTTGCTGAACAAATAGGGTGAGTTAATAAAAACATAAGAACGGGTGAAAATGATGCTGTAGCTGGCACATTTGCTTTTCTAAAAGGGGAGGAAAAAATATGACACATGGAATATTTTTGGAAGATTAAAATCCTTGTTTCGACAGAACGAGCCTGCTAGATGATGAGCTGAGTATGAATCCTTGTTTATGAACAAACAATTCAGTATTTACTATRGAGGAATACCTATGCATGTGCTGCATGCCTACTGTGAACATACTGCAGGTGGCTTTTGTAGAACAAAGGGAGAAGCGCGTGAGCAAGCAGAATAGAAAGCACAATTTGTAAAATAGCTAGTACAAGTTTTAACTGATTTCAGACTGGAATATAGGAGCTTGCTAGTTGTTTCTAGGACAGAACAAGTATAAATTATGTAATTCTAGTGGTTACAATCCTTGCAGAATAGCTGTAAGTCTTCCCAGTAATTTAGCCAGAGATTCTGTAAAATTCTTCTGATATTAGGAATGGAAAAGGCAGGAATTGTATTTCTTGACAAACTAAATGCAGGGTCTCAGCGAATCAGGTTTCTAGGATTCATTCTTCACTGTTCCAGACTGCTCCTCTGGCAAACTATTTTGTTCAATTAACTGGATTCCCCCATTACAGCTGAACAGAACTTTTCCAATAGTAGATTTTCCATTAAAAGAGGTTGTTCTATCAAAAATATTTAACAGGACGTGCTAAATAAATAAATAAATAAATAAATAAATAAATAAATAAAATCTTGAAGAAGTACTGGGACTGAATTTGCATTTCAAGCTGAATTCATTTCATCTCAAGTGAAGTAATGGTGCACTGTGCTGCGGAGGATACAATGCATAAACTAGAATCTGAACAAAATATTTTGGATTTCAATCAACCTCCAAGCGATTTTTAATTTGTGTTTCGTGGGAGACTGAAGGATTGTTCACTTTTGCTCCATTTCAGGAATAAAAGCTGCTCAGCGTAGGATGGGGCAGCAGGGCCTTGGCCGTGGTCCCCGGCGCTGCTCCCCGGTGGAACGCAGCCCAGCACCGCAGGGAGAGCAGTTGCCTCTGTGTGACTGYCCGACATCGGCCTCAGCAGGAGTTGTCACCCTAGTGCATTGAGGTTGGGAGCTCCAGCATTAAGCTGAGGGAAAACCCAGAGAAACACCTGCCAATGCTGCCTCTGCCAGAGCTGGTGGCAGCAAAGCTTTTGCTTAGGCAACCACAGGAATCATTCGCTGGCACATTGCAGGCTCCCTGTGCCAAGGACAGAGACCAAAGCTGAAAGTGTGAACCAAGGGGGATTTATCCCCCCTTTCCGTGCACATGTGGGTGCAGCTCCAGGCCTGGTGCTGGCAGAGCTGCCTTTGGGCCTGGCTGCGGGGCTGGTGGGAGCCCCATGGCTGGCACTGTCCCCATGGGCCCCGTGGTGGCCCAGTGCTGCTTCATGTAGATTCATCTTGACCCAAAAACTGTAGCATGCACCCAGCTCCCGCTCTGCCATGCAGGGTAGATGCTCCCAGCATCCCAGCACCAGCTCCCACACCAGCCCACCCTGCATGAGGCTGCCTCACACGCAGACAGCCCGCTGGCTGGGTGGCTCTCAAAAGGCCCCGTATTGAYGCGGGCAGCTGGGTATTGACATGGGGAAGGACATTCCCCACAAACCCTTCCCTGAAGAGGCAATAGTTAAATGTTTGTCCTTGCCTCTTTCTTTCGAAAGTAGGACAAATATCTATAGAGTTCCCAGCGGGGAGGTAATCTAACTTTAACTTTCACACAGCCAAGTAAAACACCCGAGACCTGCGCGAGGGATGCAAGCAGGTCGTCTGAATTATGCTTATTCAATCCAGCATTATTTCAATGTGATGGGCCTCTTGTGTGCTTCACTGAGATTCAGCTTGACCTGAAAACTGCAGTCGCAATGCCTGCATATTTACACGTGATCTACCTGACTTCAGTCCCTTAAAAGACATATACATGTACACACGCCATATACATGCCACATGCAGTGAGGGCGAAGCGCTGGCCGCGCGGCAGGCGGGCGCATTCGCGGGCCCCGCTCCGCGGCCCGGCCC